TGAATACTCGCTTTTAAAGCCTCGGAACAACAAAGGATTTATAGAACTTGAAACTCTTAGTCGCGACAGTAGACTATTCATTAACATGTTTCAAAAGTTACTTTAGAATAAGTGTCTAATTATATGAAATCTGAATGAATGAAATATATATAAAAACAAACAAACTTGATATCCGATATAGTTACTGGTTTCTGCCCGGCTGAAGGTGGTTCCGGTCTAATTTAAGCAAGCAAAATAGAAAATTTTCAGAGTTAGATTTTAAGGGGTAAACTTTGGCATTAAAATGAAACTTTATCTTAAATTCTCTATTTTCAGCAATGCAGTCAGTAAAAGATAACGTTAAAGGCTGTTCAATTCTTTCAATTAATATTTTGTTTATATTTATATTGCTGCATTATTTGATTAGAAAGAAAACAAGAACTGTCGATGTGTGATAAATGTAGAATGTGTGTTCAAAAACACTCATAAAATTGGTGTATATACCATTTAGTTTCATTAGAAATGGCATTGAATGCGGACGATGATATTTTACCACAGTATCCCCTTAATTCTGAAAAGAAAACCCACCTTTGTGACATATGTAATAAAATATTCACTAGTAACTGGAATTTAACCCAACACAAAACTATTCACACAGGAGAAAGGCCATATTCATGTAGTGTATGCGATAAAACATTTTCACGTAAATCAGGTTTAAAACAGCACAGTCATGTTCACGAAGAAAAAGATTTCAATGACGAAAATAATTTAACTTTAGATTCACTTATTGCGACTGAAAAGAAAACTTACTCATGTCATGTGTGTAATAAAATATTTACCGCTAAAAAGTACCTAAATAGACACTATCTTATTCATACGGGAGAGAAACCCTATTCTTGCGACAGGTGCGATAAAACATTTGCTTTTAAATGTAGGCTAGACGATCACTATCGTGTTCATACGGGGGAGAGACCGTATACATGCAGTGTTTGTAAAAAAACTTTTAAACATCAGAGTACATTAACTGAACACAGCCGTCTTCATACCGGAATAAAAAAGTATATGTGCGCTTTGTGTGACA